TGTGAATAATGCTGTGGGTGTTGCCTGGCTGCATTCCCCAGCCAGTTGGAAGGCAAAGCACCTGTAGGAAGGAGCAGGGATGCTGGCAGTGTTGAAGCATTGCTTGCAAGGTGTGGTATTTTTCAGCATGCAGTGACATTATTACAGGCCCCACCACTTCCTGCCCTCACAGCTGCTGAGGGCCATGGCACTCACCCTGCTCATCCCTAAACACATCCATGAGGTATCGGCACTCCTCCTGGATGCACTCACCCTGCTCATCCCTAAACACATCCATGAGGTATCGGCACTCCTCCTGGATGCACTCACCCTGCTCATCCCTAAACACATCCATGAGGTATCGGCACTCCTCCTGGATGCGCTCCTCCAGGCTCCTCTTCCCCAGGCCGAAGTTCCGGAGCGTGGTCAGGGTGAACCTCCTCTGTGCCTTCCACAGGTGCCCGGTGGAGGAGATCAGTCCTGGCAGGAACACAGGAACACCCCTGTGAGCCAAGGCTGATCTCCCACTGAGGGAGAAAAGCTCCAGGGCTCTGCCTTGTCTCCAGCTGACTCAGACCTCTGCAGGGTGGAGGCTTGGACCTTACAGCTGAGGCATGTCTAGAGGGGTAACTCACCAATCTTCCTGAAGATCCCCTCATCGACGGGAAGGTCAGGGCGGTCCAGGAACTTGTCCCCTTGGTTTACGAGCACTTCCTTCACCAAGCGCATCCCAGTTACCATCACAAACTTCATGCCGCCCATGTGCATGCCAAAGATGTCACCATATCTTTTAACTAGCTGGGAGGGGACATAAACAAAAGGGGTTTTCGTTTGCAATGGATGTTCCCGGTGAGACCAGGACACCCCTGTCAGGGGACATAGGTAAAAATAAGGGAAGAGTGGGAGGGGAGACAGAATGTATGCACTCTGCCTGAGGGCAGGTTTTTTTTCCTCTTTTCCTAAATCAGTGATTGGGATTATGTTAATTGGCCATAAATCAAGCAAACCTCACCAGGTTTGATTTTTGGGTCCTATGTTTTTCCAGTTTTTGTTCCACCCCATTCCAGCCCCCACTCGGACCTGTTGGGTTTGTACATCCGTGACTGCACCTGTGGGATCATGCTGTGACCTTTGCCCATGGAATCACTTGGCACTTGTCACCCTGCTTGTACTCAGGTAAATGTCACCGATGAGGGCAAACCTCCTGCCTGCCTCCACTACCTGTGGGGTTTGGGTTATCCCTTTCCCTGCATGCCTGGGGATGTGTATCTGCAATCCCTCCATCCCTTCCCCATGCTGCTCATCACCTACGTACCCTCTGCACTGCGACCACCGGATCTTTGAAATCTACAAGGTAGAGGTGCCCCAAAAAGGGCAGGCGGAGGGGGCTGGGAGGGAAATTCTTTGGATTTCTGTTTTTCATGTAGTCTGCGATGAGCAGGAAGATGAAGAGAAAGATGAGGAATGTCTGGAGGGAGAGGCTGTCCCAGAGGAACTGCAGCATGGCTGGATGCTGGGGGTCGGCAGGGACGTGTCCCACAGCAGGTCAGGCAGGTTGAGCTCACAGGGCACCACTGAGGCCCCCAGGGCTGGGGGAGATGGGTGATGTGCTGGCACAGCTGTGGATGCAAACACAGGACAGCAAGGAGTGGCTTTTGCAGCCTGCCCTTGGGGCTACATTCAGACTCATGCTTTCCCAGCTTTCACAAAGGATTAAACCCCTTCTTGATTAAACTGAAATATTCCCTCTCATCTGATTTAAAACAAACCCACCATGAACCAGAACACCCCCAGCTTCCTCCTTCCCCTCCAGACTCCCCTCAGTACTTTACTAAACCCCAGTGCTCCATGCCCTTGTCTAAAGGACAGAAATGAGCTTAGTGGACTGAGATTAAAACCTGGCAGTTCAGGCATGCAGCTCCCACAAACCCATCTCCCAGGATGACCCTGCTCCCTCCTTCCCAGGTGTCCTCACCGTGCTACGTCCCAGTTTCAGCTTCTCAGGGAGTCTCCAGCTTCTCGGAGAGCCTCGTGCTTTCCTTGTTTACAGCAGCTCGCTTCCTGCTATGAAGAGTCCCGGGCCAAGCCCCAGGTCTCAGGGGACACCCGAGATAAGGTTGCACAACCTTTCCCAACCCATCTGACTGAGTTTTGTGTTTCCGTGCGTCTGGGTGACGTGGGCTGGGAGTGAACAGCTGTCCCGGAACTCGGCGCTTCCTGAGCACCAACATTTTCTGATCTCCACCAGAGCAGCGCAGGCAGAGCAGCTGGCTCTGGCCATGCCCTGATCTCTCCAGACACCCCTTCCCACCTGCCTTGTCCTTTGGGTCACAGCCCATGGGGAAGCTGCTCCCAAAGCCCCACAGAGCTGATGAAGGTGGTGAGAAGCCGATGCAGATGCCCAGCTCTGCAGGCTGGTGCCCTTTGGTGGGAGCTGACAGCAGAATGTGCTGCATTTTCCCACCCAGGAGCAGCTCTGGGTTAGGGTGGTGTTCATGCACATGGACATTGTGGAACTTAGATGTGTTTGTTGTGTTTTACTGTGAAAGAAGCAGGGAGCAGCAGCACTTTGCCCCTGCACCATGTGACTCTGTCACAGCCTCTTGCAGTCATCAGCTGCCTCCTCTTGCTCTGGGGGACGTTCTGGGTGCCTTTTCTCTCTTTTGGGGCCATCAGTTGTGGCTGTTGGGATTGTCCAGTGCTGATGACAAAGCAGCAGAGCCACTGTTGTGATGCCATACACATGTTCTCCATAACCTTACACTTGGGAAGCTGGAAAAGTCAAATCTGTTTTACTGTGGAATTTTAAGGGGAGAGGCCTGTTTTTGAGAATATCTCTTTTAATCTCTGGTTTTTAAGCACACTTAGGCATGAGCCTCTGGAGATGCATGTGTTCACCAGCAGTAACATGAGAGGATCCACTTGAAAATTAAACAAGTTCATGCCTCCTGCCTTTAAGGTATGGCATCATTGCATTTAATTAAAGGAAAAAAAAAAAAAAGAAAAAGAAGATCACTTCAATCGTTTATTCTCTCCAGGAGTAGGGGAGGAAACTCCAAAGTTAAGAAGAAACACAAGTTGGAACTGAAAGAGAGATCAATATTTATTTGCTAAACCAATGTGAATAATACAAGCTGCAGCCATAAGCCAGAGGTCAGACCTACAGCAGAAGGAAAACAAAAATGGAGAGAAACCAGTGCCTAGTCCCAAGTGGCGTTGAAGACTTCATAGGTGAAAAGAAGTCCTTGTATCTTTTATGTTTTCTCTTTTACAAAGACAAAAACACAACATGGGAGCCCGTGACTGTGAAACAATAATTAAAAACGCAATAGGATTAAAGCGATCAGTCGGAAGGACAGTTATGTGACAGAATCCCCGTGTGCCCGGCATGGCAGGGATGTGATGTGCAGAGGACTCTCCCCTGTGGCATAAATCTGCCACTGCACAGGGATTGCTTTGCACGGCAGCAAAGCTGCTACTGCCGGGGACAGAGGAGAAAACCAGTGCAAATGAAACTCGATGTAATCCTCTTTTCCTGTTAACTATTCCATAGCCTACGTGGGTACCCACAGAAAAGTCACTTACGAAAGGTAAGAAGCAAAAAACCAACAAAACCAAGAAGAAGAATCTTTGCTGTGACTATAGTCCAAACTGAAGCACACAGGAGACAGCATTTCTAAGCACAAACGGTCACATAAATGGAAAAATTCTCTACAAGTTGCATATTTAATTAACTCTTAACTCCAAAGAGGCCTGGCAGAAGCTGTGTCCATGGTGCAGGGTGCCCTGTCCCAGCTGCTACCTCAGCCCCCCGTGACATCCTTGCTGGTCACAGAGACACAAATCTTTGCCAGAAGCAGAGGGGAAGTGCTGAACTTGTGACTTCCCACCACAAAACCACTGTTCCAACACTTCCTTCCTGAGGGCCACCACTGAGCCGCCACGGGCATGACCCTTCCAACTCTGCTGTTCCCTTTCTGCTGTGCTTCAGGTGAACTGCTCCCCAACAACCCCAGGGGATTATTTTGTTGCAGCTTTTCTGATTTGTATTTTACTAGCACAAACCTTTTGCTTTTCTAATATAAAATTGCTATATCACATTTTTATAGCACTTCCAGACCTGCAGGAAGCAGGTGAGAAGTGGGAAGCAGGCTCTTTGTTACCACTTGGGTTGGGCTTTGGTAGAAGCAGCTTCTACTCCCCTGTAGCCTCGTAATTAAAATTCCCATGTACTCTTTGAGATCCAAAACAATGCTTGCTGCTGCTGCTGCAGAGATCTATTTTATATTTCAGATATTTTTTATCCCTGGAAGTGTCCAAGGCCAGGTTGGACAGGGCTTGGAGCAACCTGATTTTGTGGAAGGTATCCCTGCCCATGGCAGAGGGGTTGATCTTTAAGGTCCCTTTCAAGCCAAACTATTCCTTGATTCTGTGATTTCCAGCACACAGCAGCAATGTGGTGCTGTAGGGAATGTCCACCACTCTGAGCCCAAGCCCCCCTGAGGCTCAGGATTGGCTGCGGCCACCTGAAAACCGAAACTGATGCTGAGTCTTGAGTCCAGAGCTTGTGTCCAAGGCCAGCAGCTTGCTCTGAGCAGGGACACCTCAGGAGCCCTTGGCTATTTGGGTGCTGCAGCATTAGAGGCTGCTAAGTGGTCTCTGGGTGATGGACATGCTCCCCATGGAAAAGTCAACATCAAAACATGCTTTTGCAGCTGGCAGAAACCTTTCTGGGAATTCCTGACAGTGGGAATTAGTGAATAAGGCTTTTAAATCCATGCATTTTGTCAGACTGGTAGCAGGGAGCAGAAATGAGGCGAAGGGAAGAGCCACAAGGGTTGTGTTTGCTGCAGCGGGCAGGATGGGGCCCTTGTGCCCTTCCCCTGCCACCCGGATACCAGAGGGTGCTGGACCTCCAGGGCCCATCATTTCAGCCCAAAATCTCTGGGGTGGGTGGTCAGGAGAAGGGGATTTCCCCGTTTGTGAGGCTGAGGGGGCTGTGGGGCAGCCCCAGGCCCGGCTCAGTGCCGGGGCACGGCGCGGAGCTGGAAGGGTTTGGGGCAGCGCGTGAGGCTGAGCGTGAAGGCGAAGGACAGCGCGGCCTCTGCTGGGGCCTGGAAGCTGAACTTCTGCAGCAGGGCCACGAAGAAGATGAAGAGCTCGGTCCTGGCGAGCTGCTCCCCGGGACAAGCCCTCTTGCCTGGAAAAGGAACACAAAGAACCCGACAGAGTGCCGAGCGAGCCCCAGGCAGCTCCGAGGCTCCTCCGGGCCGCGCCGCCTCGCACCGGCTGCGGCGGCTTTTCTTCCTGGAAAGGTTAGGTGGCAATGTTCACCCACACAATCTGCTCAAAGCTTCCCCAGAAGTTTACTGCCGAGCAAACTGCGCCTGTTCTGAGAGGCGAGGAGCGGAAACTGTCTGAACAACCCAGTTATGTAACTTCTGCAAGAAGAAAAAGCCTTTTTCTTTTTTTTTTATCTCACAGTAACAAATTTATTTCCTCCCCGCTCCGAGCAGCCTGTATTAACTGTGACTGGGATTTTCAGTGTGGGGATGGGCTGCAAGCTGAACAGGAGCAGTACCCCCTACTCTAAAAGCAGTGTCTTGGGGAAGAAATAAAAGCCTTGCAAAAAGAAAAGTCAGCTCTGCATCCATCACCCTACCTGCAGAGAAGGGCAGAAAAGCCTCCCGCCTCCTGTACTGGCCGTTTTCCAGGAAATGTTCAGGATTAAAGGAGTCGGGAGTCTCCCACACGTTTTTGTCGAACATTATCGAAGTCAGGCTGGTCATCAGGGTGGTGCCCTGCGAGAGGTGGAGAGGAGTCGAAATGTTGTCAGACTGGGTTATAATTAGCTCTGTAAACTACACTGTTTTAAGGGCAAAACGGGCCTTTTCCCCCCTAAGCTACGTAATTAGGGTGAAAGCCTGCAGGATTGTTCACTTGTGTGCGTGTCTTTACCGATCACTGAGTGTTGATCTGCATCCTGAGCTGCAGTAACAGGTGATGGTAATGCAAACCAACTTTAAATTGGTAGCATTGCATTCCCATAGGACCTTGAAGCAATTTAATCAAGTAATTTTCAATTGATTTTTTAAAATGTGTTTTTTTAGGAAAAAAGTAAAACTGATCTGGTTTATCTCCACATTCTCCATCAGCAAGAGAAATATTCTAATCAATATGGAGGCAAATGCCTGAATTTTTAAAATTTGCCTCAGTGCAACCAGTCATATAGAGGGAAGAGACCAGTTATATATAAATCCCATATTTGCTTTTGTAATTGCAGAACAGCGTGTGTGAAACAATACTCATTACCTGTCTTTCATCAAGTGCTACTTTTAATAGATGATTATTAATATTGTGTAGAATTAACAATCCCAAACTGTTTGCTTTCCTATGTTTCCTCTATTCCCATAACATGTTGAGGGTGTCTTTTACAAAATTTAAGGCATAAACCTTTTAAAATTATCAATTACAGCCAACACCATGAGGATCTCACAATTCTCCTCTGTAAGGAGGTGAGATCCATAACAGCCCCACAGAATCCATCAAGAGGGCTTGTATTTTCTAAATAATTGTGGTATTTCTGTAAGATCCTGCTGACTGGTCCCCCTCCAGGTGAGATTTGGGGCTTGGGCCGTGAAGACCCTGCTCTGGTGGGACAAAGGCTGGTGGGATGAAGGCTGGTGGAGTGAAAGCTGGTGGGATGAAGACTGGTGGATGAAGACTGGTGGGATGACAAAGGCCGAAGGGATGAAGGCCGGAGGGATGAAAACTGATGGGATGAAGGCCGGAGGGATGAAGGCCGGTGGTCCCCACGCACTTTGGGCAGGTGGAAGCCGGCCAGGGTGGTGTCACTGGTGGCCATGCGGGGCACCCCCAGGGGCACCACGTTGCCCATGCGCAGGACCTCGCTCAGCACGGCGCTGGTGTAGGGCATCCTCTCCTTGTCAGCCATCGAGGGCTGCTGGCACTGCCCGACCACGGCGTCGATCTCCTGCTGCACTTTCTCTACAGGGAGCAAAAAAAAAATTAAAAATATCCCTCTTCATAGAATTTTTAGGGTTGGAGAAGCCCTCTTAAATGATCAAGTCCAACCATTAAGCCAGCACTGCCAGGCCACCACAGTGCCACATCCTCACTCCTTTTGAGCACTTCCAGGGTGATTGCACCACTCCCCATGGCAGACTGTTCCAGGGCTGGACAACTTTTTCAGTGAAGAAATTTTCTTTAATATCCAACCTAAACCTCTCCTGGCTCAACCTGAGGCCACTTCCCCTTGTCCTGTCACTTGTTCCTTGGGAGAAGAGACCGACCCCCATCTGGTTGTACCCTCCTTTCAGGGAGTTGTACAGCATGAGAAGGTCTCCCCAAGCCTCCTTTTTTCTGGGCTAAACACTCCCAGTTCCCTCAATAGCTTCTCCTAAGACTTGTCTTCAAAAGGTTCCCAAGAGGATACGTGGGGCACAGGCATATCCAAGATGTGGCAGAGCTGGGGTAACTCTGTTCCCTGAGTTTTGGGCTAAGCAAAGGACCCCTGAGCAAAGGCCCTACCCTGAATGTGGGGGTACGCGGCCATGTAGAGCAGAGCCCAGCGGATGGCGGTCGCCGTTGTCTCTGTCCCAGTTAAGAACAGGTCCAAGGTGGAGCACAGCAGGTTTTCCTCATGGAAATAGGAGCTGGTGTCACCCTTAAACTTGGAGGAAAAACATGGCAATGAAAGCTCTTACTCTGGAGGGGATGCTTTTAAAACCCAATCCAAAATCACCTGTGTGTAACTGAAGTCCTACTGCTCCTTTATTATCTACACCTGGGATTGGAAATTTCCAGCCTTTCACTGGATTTCAAGCCCTATGGACTGTTTTGACAGACACCCTGGTTGCTGTAGAGTGGCTCTTGAAAGCAGGTAGCATTTTTAAATGTCAAGTTTCACAATAGCAAACACAGGCGTGCGAGTGCTCACAGAAACATGAACATGTTCCCTGAGAGTCCTCCTACGCCGTGTGACAGAATGAAAAAGGGAGAAAGACAAAGTGTAAATCCTTTCAAATGGAAAAAAAAAAAATCTGTGGGTTTCTAAGTGATCAGGCTTCTGCTGCTGCTGAAGTTTGATGTGGCAGAGGTAGGGAGGGGAAGGCAAGAACTGTGAGGCAAGAACTCCCCTGACAAAATAGCCCTGAATCTTCTCTGCTCATTCTATGGGTTAATCTTTAGGTGGTTTTGGTTGTTTACTTCCTACCTTTTCTATTTCCTTCAGGTAGCAGTCAATATAATCTCCTGCCTCGGACTGGTCCAAATCCTCCTTGTGCTTTGCAATCACACCTTTCACAAAATATTGAAGTTTCTCCCAGTGCCTGAAGATTTTCCTGAAGGGTCCTGGCAACCATCTCATGATCAAAGGAAAAGCGTTATAAAGCTGGTAAGAAATCAAAGAGAGCAAAAGAGCATTTTTTGAGTTAGAATAGAGCAGGTATCAGAGTTGAGAGGATGGGACTCTCAATTAATTGATTAACTCGGCTTGCTACCATGAAAAAAATCATCCTTGCTGTAACTATCCAACTTGTACAAATTTATTTACATAGGTGTAAATGAGTGCAAACAAGATAAGAATTGGACAGATATTTTCTCCTGATAAAGTTCTCAAATACTGAATGGCCAAAGCTGCCCCCTAATGTGAGGTGGCCACAGGTGAGGTGGAGGCAGATGAGCACCTTAGTGTGTCCCCATGGAGGCGACAGAAATCAGACTATGGTGTGTGGCCATGCAGAAAATGCATCACCAAATCCACCTATTTTGTTTCTAAACCTGAAATCTCAATTTTTTTCATACATAGAAGTTATTTAAGAAACTGGTCAGGATATGGGTGTGGAAAAAGATAGGAATTTTCAGTGTTACTACTTCTTTTTAGATTTTCTTTTAAGATCTTCTTTTAAGATCTTTCATTTAAGGTCTTCTTTTAAGGTTTTCCTGTTGTTTTTTGGTTATGTCAGGCATAAGATTGGTTTCACAATCCTGTAGTATTTTTTTTCCTCCATGTGTCCCAATAATTTTGACTTATTTCCTTGCTTTCCTGATATGCTTTGTGGATAAATCCAATCTAATGTAAAACAATTCTCCTGGTCATTTTCCTTTAAACGTGGCTCTTTTTATACAGGAAAAGGCAGATTATACCAATGCCTTAGAATTCCTAGTTTCTGAGCTGTTCCATGCAGCTGGAGCTGGAAAAACATCCAAGTGGCTTTACCTGGCCCCAGAAACTTCCGATGAGCAGCAACGTTTCAGCCAGGGAGTGCAGCAGTTCCTGGAAACGGTTGTCATGGTAGTCAAAGCGGTTCCCAAAAGTTATGGAACAGATGATGTTTGAAACAGCACTGTTAATTTTGTAATGAGGGTCAAAGGGCTGTCCTGGAGGAAAGAAAAGGAAAGAAAACTGCCTGTAGGGAGGTTGTGGCCAGGTGGGAGTTGGTCTTTTCTCCCAAGGAACAAGGGACAGGACAAGAGGAAGCAGCCACAAGTTGTGCCAGGGGAGATTTTGACTGGATATGAGGGAAAGTGTCTTCATTTGAAAGGATGGCAGGCTTTGGAAGGGGCTGCCCAGGGCAGTGGTGGAGTGGCCATTCCTGGAGTGTTTGAAAGGTGGATGTGGCACCTGGGGCCGTGGTTTAGTGGTGGACACGGTAGTGCTGGGTTAATGTTTGGACTCAATGAACTTAAGGATCTTTTCCAACATAAATCTCTCCATGATTCTATGATTCTAAAGAGAGCTTTCATTTGTTTTTCCTGTTCAGTCTCAGTCAAAACCATATTCTCTATCAGATCCACAGCTGTGAATCACAGTGAGACCTTCTTCTCACCCATGGTGGTGTGAGGTTTCACCCCATGTCCTGGGGTACCCACCACCCCCATCACCTCCAGCATCCCACTGGAGCCTGGGCACTATGGGCCAGGACATCCCGTCCTGTGTGCAGCCCAGGCTGCTGGCAGCCAGTGACATTAGCACTGAGCTGCCCAAGCAGGGTCTGAAGCATTTTCCAGGGAAAACAAGCAGCATGCCATGCTACGGCTGTCAGCTTTGCCCAATCCAACCTGTGTTTGGTGCCAGTTTCAGGAGAGGATCCCTCAAAGCTTTTCCCAGGGCAGGGAGCCCAGGACAGCCACACTGCAAAAATACCATTGCCCTGGGCTTTAGTTGTCCACCATGGAGAAATCAAGGGAGCTGGAGGAGAGAGGGGAGACGGCTGCAGATCTCTGTGCCCACCTGTAAACCCCAGCAACAGCTCATGTGGCCCACAGAGCCCATTTATAAAGTGAAGTGTGATGTGATGCTTGTCACATCTGTGTTCCCTGAGAGAGCTACTGAGCAGAGACCTCCATCTCCTTGGACAGCCTGGAGAGCCACTTGCTGTGACAAGAGACTGATCTCAGTGACAAGCCCAGTCCAGCCCTGAGCTGCTGTTGAGCATCACTTTGAAATGCAAGGCACTCCTCCCAGCACTGCTGCTCTCTCCACTCTTCAAGAAAGTAATTAAACCGGGCTGGTGCTCAGATATTAGAGTGATGGACATGATCACTATTTGTCATTACTAATGGGAAGAAAGGCCCAAACCAGCAGCTTAATTAGTTTATTGATTAGGACTATAGAAGACTATAATCAATTGGCAACATGGAGTATTTGGCCTGTTCAGTGCAACAGCAATTAAAATGGAGCAAGTTTAGTATATAATTTCAGAATTCCTTTTTAGATCTTTCTTGTTTACTATATATAGCTCCATAGAATTAGCTCAACCCCATCTGCTTCTATTTAAAGCTGAAGCGCAACATCACCCATGTACCAACATACAAATTATTCTTACTAATATCCCTCTGGCAGTTTTTAAAAGCTGGACCATAAAAGAGCAAGGCACACGCTTCATTTGTGTGTGATACAAAGGGAAAGCCTGACTAAACAAGTTTTAAAATACTTTGCAAAACCAAGGACAAGCAGAGGTTAACTAAACCTCTGAGTGGAAGTGCCTTATAGCAGGAGAGCTATGTTTATTCCTTCGCAGAATGCATGACACTTCCTTAGCCATGTAAACACTCATGTTTTAATAACCACCTAGTATATATTTGCTTAATATTAATAAGGAACAGCTAAAATAGGAGGCCTGAGGTCTAAAATAAGTGCTAAAAGGCACAGTCTGGAAGTGTAAGATAGAGATTTGAGCTATTGAAGAAATGTTTTGCACGTTTGGAGCTGTGCTGGGGTAAGAGTTTTACGTCTCATCATTCATTTAGCTGGAAGCTCTGAGCACAGTGCTGTGCATTAACCCCCACCTTTCTCCTCCTCAATTGTCTCCACGAGGTACCGACTCTCCTCTTGCACTTTTTCCTCAAAATTTACCGCAAGGCTTTTCAGTGCTGCTAAAGCAAACTTTCTCTGCTGTCTCCATATGTGCCCGTTGGATGATATGAGCCCTGTAGGTGGAAAAAACAGGTGAACAATCCTCTCTCTAGGTCATTTGTGAGTGTTAGGATTCTGAAACCATGTCCATTCACCATGGACAAAAACCCCAAACCAAGGCAAACAAAGCTCGTGGATGTGGAAAAGGCTATGGCTTTTCCTGGGAATTAAAATTCAAGAGTAATTGGCTTATGCTAAAGATCTAGCTTTATGGATTTGCTTTAATCTGCTACTTTGTCACTTTGCGTGGGAAAAAAAGGTGTAAGCCAAAATACTCTGAGTACTATCACGCTGTTGGCAGAGCTGCAGGCAGGAGCACCCCGTCTCTGGAGCTGTGTGCAACCCAGGCAGGAAAAGTAAAGGAGAAATGAAAACCAAAGGGAAAAGCTGCAAGTGTATTGATCTTTGGGCAGCTTGCATTTATTTCTTCTCTTTCATTAAAATCTGGTTTTGAGCCCATCCTTATCCCTAAATCTCACAGAGATTAAAACATACCCCTGTGAGATTATTGGTATTTTTGTCTTCCCCTGTGCAAAATTTCACAGGTGCAGCTCACAAGGGTTGAATTCAACCAGTTTCTTTCCCTCTAACAGTTATCATTCCAAAGAGATGAAAATTTTGTCCCGAAATCCTGGTAGCTGTGCTTACCAAAGCCTCTAAATATTTCTTGGAGGAGTGGAATATTTGGCCGGTCAGCAAATATTTCAGCCTGGTGGACAAGAGCTTCTCTCACCATTTGGTACCCGTTGACCACCACGAATGTCAAACTTCCAAACTGCACACTGAAGATGTTCCCGTACCGACCCGTAAGCTGAAAGAGAGTCCACTGTCCTCTGAGAACAAGAAGATGGGGATTTTCAGAATTCTCCAGGCCAAGACCTTGAACAGGGAAATCTGACTTTGAATTTAACCCTGCTTGAAGCAAAGGTACTTCAGAGAAACCCAAACCCAAGCATGCAGGTCCTATCCAATCTCAGCTACTCCATGAAGGCTGGAGAAGGCATAAAAAGGGCTGGAGAGCTGTAGTGTGGGAGAGATGAATTGCTTATATCTGTTATCTGGTGTGACCTGGGCTTGACCAGGTGTTTGCATCAGTTTGGCTTGTAACAAGGATGTGAGTTGCTTTGTAACTGATGGGCATCTCCTCTGTCCCTTTCTGTCCCACCACCTGGGTCACCACACTCAGGCTGTTCCTGCTGAGAGCAAACCATGACAAATTATCCCTTTCATCAGTTTTGTGTCTAGAGCAGTGTGGTTTCTCCTCCAGCTCTCCCATTTAGACAGGAGCTCTAACTGCTTATTGCTGGACACGTACTTCTAATTTTAAGCCTGACTGCATTTATGGCCAAATTGCGGCCATTTTCCTTGCATGGACTTTGCTGGCATTAGTGTCTCCTCTGAGATGTATAAGGGTAAAACGGGGATCATATCTTCTCTCTGTCAGGGAGCTCATCCTCTTCTTAGACTGAATCTACATGAGAGGACACACAGGGTCACCCCAAACTGCTGTGGTGACTCGTGAAACCAGCCTGGGACCAAACGGGTGTCTCAGTCATTGTGTACTTGTAAATAAATGGGATTATTTTTCTTAATAGCTGTGTGTATTGACAAAATATCCTAAACTCACTGCCTCAGCCTTCCCCAAGGATTCCCTCAGGAACCACCCATGCTGGTGGCCTGAGAGCACCCAGGGTAGACAGGCTGGTGTCATCCTGCTAAGCAAAAGCAAGAGACAAATAGTCACCAGAAAGGATTTTTGCAGACAGCATGTCAGAACTTCTACCTTTTCAGAGAGGAATACTCAGCATGTATAAAATCTCTCTCTTTTTGTCTCTTGTGGTAGTCAAAGCTGTGGAAACCTTTCCAGAGAGATCATTGCCTCTTTCTGCAACACAGAAGAAGCCACAGGACATAACTTAGGATTTTAAATGTTTCTTTCAAATGTGATGGGGTGAATTGTCAGCCTCTGAGCAAAGACAGTGACAGGACAATTTCCAGAGGTGATCTCCAAACAGTTCAGTTGTCACACAGCACTTTTCACCTGTCCCTCAGCCTGGCCCAGCCCTTCAGAGCCCTTTCTGGGGCCCAGAAGGAAATGATGACAGTCAGATGGGAAGAAAGAGGAGGAACATATAGGTCTTCCTCCATTATGGATTTCTTTCCCTTTGGACTGTCCTACTCCCCTGGAAGAGGAGATGCTAGTGAGAGATAAAACCAAGAAGGGTCATCTATCTCATGTGATTATTATATATGCAGCTCTGCAGAGACTGCCCTTGCTGCTTCTCAGTGTGGTGATAAGAGTCATGGAAGGGTAAGATATTGTAAGTAGGGAAAATGTCCATGGAGCTCTTACCTTCTGCAGTGCAAGATGGAGGGGCTGCTTAAAGTCCACAAAGGTTCCCACGAGAGGAAAGAGCTGCGGCCCTGGAGGGAAGTTCCTGGGTCGTCTCTTTTTCACTAGGTCAATAATCAAAAGAGACATGACCAGAGCCACCAAGAGCATCCGACCATTCAGCTTGTTCAAGAATGACACAAAATCAGGCCAAAACTGAAGCTCCATCTTGGCTGATGAACTCGCAGGTTTTCATCCCAGGAAGGGACCTGATTCTGGTGTTACATTTGCTAAAACAAGAGTAAGCAACAACTGGAGAAGAAACAAAAAAAGCTAAAATGCTGATAGCTGACTGGAAGCTGCTTTTCCATATATGGCTGCTGCCAGACCACCTGCTGAATAACTAACTTTAAACACCAGGATCTCCAAAAACAACCCTGAAACCTCACAACATTTGGCCAAGCAAAAGCAATCTTGCAAACCTTTAGCTTTACATCTCTCTCAACTCCCTGATTTCCTTATGGAAGAGCATTCCTTCCTTTTTGCCCTGAACAAGGGGCTCCTTTATATGACACCCCGGGATTATCAGCACAGCAAACATTCGAGGTGAGGTGAAAGCAGCTTATGGGGCTGATCACGTGGTGGGCGTCGCACACTTTCAGGGATGCTGAGGCATCTGAGGTGATGGACACCACACCAGGGGCTGAGGGGCTGATCCTGTTAAGTGCTAAGCACCATCTGCAAAGGGCCGGGTGCCTTTAGTGCCCACCAAAGCCTTCCTGGCTTTGCCAGAGCCCTCAGGGGAGGTTCAGACAAGGGAAGAACTGCAGGGGCCCAGGGCTCTCCCAGCCACACAAATGAGAGTTAAAGGAGCTTAATTTCAAGAATGAGAACATAGGCTCATGTGCTTGCCATGGGATTGCAACTTATGCATTTAAATCTCCTGGGTTTTCTGAAAATCTTCTTTGAATAAAGCTTCACACTGTCCTGGGGGAAGGCTGCAGTGGACTGACAGTGACCTCTGTGACTTGGAATCAGTCTTGTGTCACCTGCTGATTTTTAGCTAACTTGGTTCCAGCTCTTTCCTTTTCTCTTTCCTTTTTTCTTCCCCTTTACAAAATTTACTTTTACAAAGAATCGTAATGTATACTAAAGCAAAACTATAAATAATGAGTTTTCAAATTATTTGCCAAGAACTCAATATGAGAAATTCTGAAGGATGGTCAATTTTGACTGCTATAGAATCCTATGATGGTTTGGGTTGAATGGGAATTTAATATGAAAAATTCTGAAGGACGGTCAATTTTTACTGCCATAGAATCCTATGATGGTTTGGGTTGAATGGGAACTTAAAGATCCTCTGGTTCCAACCTCCTGCCATGGGCAGGGATACTGTATCTTCAGCTTTAAAGAAAGCTTTAATTTTTAAGGAAGAAAAATGCAGCTTTTCATAAGAAACAATAATTGGGGAAAAAAATCTGGTATTCTCTAGTCTTTGACCATTTTAAAAAGCTTTGCTGTCCCTGTCTTTCATTATCTTAGAAGCACAAGCAGGCTATCTGACAGACCTGCACCTTGGCTATGGCAGGAGTCTTTTTTAGGGGCAAAAGTTATCTGCAACCCAACCCTTCTTGCTTTGAAATATTATTTACAGGTTCCTAGATGGGATTAGGCAGCAAACAGGGAACAGCAATGGGAGAAACATCTCACATCCCTTGTGTATAAAGCACATTTTACATGTCCCCATAGCACAGCTGTGAGCAGCAGTGGCTGGATGTGCTTTGCCTCTCCTCATGCTGGCGCACCCACGGTGCTCCTGCACCACTTGCGTCCACGCGCCTCTTCCAGCCTTCCTGGTGTGGCAAGCCAAGCCTGGCTTACCAGAGGCTAAATCAGGATAGCAGGCTCGTGCTCCTCATCCTGGCACCGGGGAGATGACTCGGTTGGTGGAGGTGTCAGCCTACAGCATGCTCAGAGGGACTGTGATGATAAGGCGTCAACTTCTGCTAGCCCAGTTTCACTCCTCTGTTCCTCACTGTGCCATATGATTTGTCAGCATGCACAGAGTGCAGATCCCTCTACCACTTGTGGCTGCTGTGAATCGGGCTACGTGCAAAGCCAAGGTGTTAATGTGTTCTTCTGGGTGGTGTTGTGGGGGTGGGTGCATCGTGGTTGACAGGAGAAATGTTATTTTTAGCAGGAGGAGCACATTCTGCATGTATTCACATGTGTCTTGTCAGTCAGAAACCTCAAGCCTATTCCTTTGCCTTGAAGCTTCACATGTCCAAATGCATCCCCTCACAAAGTTCTTAACACTCCAGATTTACAAAGAATTAAGGAAGAGCCTTCCAATATTACCAGGGCTCTCCTAACCTTGGCAGACAGTAACACCAGCATGTTATCAAACTGTGGTGATTCTATTTTGGGTCCTAGGCTTTAATCAACCCAGTTCTCAGCACGTGGTGATGTGCAAATCCCCAAAGCACTGAGGAAGTCACGTCGCCATGGCACATGGGCAGTGCAAAGGTTGTTGGACAACACCAATCTCTGCAGTGTTGACCAGATCCTTGTCTGTAAGATCTTGGTCACCTGCAGGATGAACCTGTTCCTCTGGCCAGCACCATGAATGCTGGAACTTTGGTGTTCTGCAGATCAAATAACACAAATTTGAGTTCATAAGAGGATGTGCACCCACACAACTAGTAGGGAACAGGATGTAGACCCACCTTCCCCCAATTTCTCCTCAAATACCTCCCCTGATGCCAGTACACAGCTTTTGACCACCTCACCTGAGCTCAAGGAGATACCATGTGGATAAATTGTGCCATATTGCATGGACAGGCATGCATCACTGCCTGAATATTAAGGCATCTTGAACAGCCAAGAGACAGAAATTGGCCCATATGCTTTGTACCTTCTTCCCTGGCTAGATGTCTAACTGTGTGCAGAAGGTTTTGAAACACAAAGAGAAACATTCTGTTAAAAATGCAATTACCATTTGTTTTTCAAGATATAGTATCCCATTATTTTTTCCAGAGAAGTGAAATTCAATAAGGTTACAACAGAATGTAGTCCAACAGTTACCGTACTTTCAGAGCATTATTTAAGCTACAGAATTTCTTAATGATTAGAAACATATGTAGGAAAAATCACATGCAAAATGAGAATGACTGGAGACAATTTTCCCCTGTTGTAGTGCGTTCTTATATTTTGTAATACTTTGAAGTAGTTTGTTTTGTATTCCCATGTTCTTCCCAAATGGTTTATCCCAGACTGTACCCCCCCCCCCCCCTTTTCCCTCTACTTGTGTTATCCCTTTCCTGGGATAAGATCTCCAAAACCCCCACCCTGGCTCGCTGTCAGTCACCTCGACATCCCAGCCCCTTATCCAGAAGTTTCGGTCCAAGTTGTCGAGTGATTAGCCAGAGGCCAGAGGTCAGCCCCCCAAGTCCTGCCCCATACGCTGTTTTGTATGTCTATCCCCCCAGCACCCATCCCCCAGAGATACCTATTGGTCAGTAGGATTTTATCTATGTTAGTTTCCTCCCCCCTTTAAATGTGAGCTCCGGACATCCCCCAGGGCTCTCGGCAGGAAGCCCCTGAGGTATAGGAGCTCCCTCGGGACTCCTTAATAAAAACCTTGGAATACCCCCTGCTGGGAGTCGGCCCCTTTCCTCTTCCACCGACGTCTCGGTCGTCTCTGCTGCAGCAAAGGCAACCAGCCTGAGTGCCCTCAGCACCCTCGGGGCACAGAGAGTGTCTCCCTGCAGTCGGCCGTGGTGGGGCTACCCCCCCCACTCTCTGCCGACCCGGGTAAGGCCCAGGGACATTGAGAGGCTTGCAGAGAGACTGAGACAGCTTGGCGCCCAGCCGTGGGGCTCTGGGACCATTCCACGAGCCCACGGAAAGGGGCTCGGACATTCTTTCAGTCTGTTCGATAAGCCTTTGGCTGGCAAGCTACCTCAGAAGAACACACTCCGTTTTAGTGAGTTGCTCTCCTGTGGACGAAACTGGGAACTTCGAAGTACCCTAAGAAGTCAGTTTCAGGTGGAAATCAACATCCCAGGCTTTTTCGTTCCCCTGTCCTGCAGCTGGATTGGTAAGTTTTACCCTTCTCTTGTTTCTCCCCTCTTTGGGAGGGGGTGTTTCCCTTTTCCCTGCCCTTTGTTCTCAGGCCCGCCGCGGAGGGCCGAAGTTTTTTTTTCTCTCTATTGTGGGCAGGCTGCCAGCCGCAGGCTTTTTTCCTCCCCCCCCACCTGGGTTGCTGAAATTTGAGATACAAATTTAAAATCAGAGCCAAAATGGGTGCTAGGCTTTCTGTATCTCACAAGGGTGTCTATTACCATCTTTTAAACATTCTTAAGAGTGAAAAAATCCGATTTTCAAAAACAGATGTTAAACAGTTCGTCAGATGGCTTTTTGTTCACATTCCTGATGTGTCCACTGAAAATCTCAGTGATTTGGCTTTTTGGGACAAAATTGGTAGTGAATTATTGAAGGCAGGGAAATCAGGAGACACCTCTCCGTCAAAATTTGCTTTTTTAGCCCTGCAGATAAGAAATGTTGTAAAATTTAATTTAAAGATGCAAGAACAGCCATCCGGCAACAGTTTCAATATCTCTGTTTCCCAAAAACCCGATCTACCCCCCTCCAAGTTCGGTTCTCCCTCCCCCACTCACCTCTCCCCACCCCCAGCCCCGGCACAAACCCCTGCCCCCCCCCAGAGGCTCCCTGTCTCCAACCTGGACACTTCTGCCCGGAATTCTCGAGATCCTACCCTTCCCCCTGCTTCTACAAGTTATAATACCGTGTCTCACAACCTTAGTGCCCGCCTTGGTACCCCTGAGACGCGTCCGGTAATTTCTCAGGACAATAATGGTGGACACTACGTGGCAATGCTGGTTTCCTCTCCTTCCCAAAACCCCTTTTGCTCTCCCAACAACCCATTCTGCTCGGAGCACCCCGCCCCCGAAACCCGCCCTCCCTGTGCCCTTCCCCCGGCCCCTCCTCCGGCCCCTCCCGCCCTTCCTCCGGCCCCTCCTCCTGCTCTGGCCCTGGCCGGCCCCGCCCCCTCAGAGCTCTGCCCGCCCACCGCGGGCTCCCTCCGCCCCCCCCACGGCCCGCCCTCCGGCCCTCAGAGCAGTGTAACAAGAGACGCTGTCGCCGGCAGACAGAACCCGGAAACAGCACAGTTCCTTTCTGTGCCCCTGTCTCATACATTCCAGATG